AAAACTTTCCTCGAAAAAAATAATTTGGAAAACGTGAAGGATTATTTTTGAGCGGCTTGTCTTTCAAAGGCCATATATATCGCTAGAATAGAAATCAATTTTCCATCCATATATACAACTTTTCACGCTGATTCAAACAGTGGTATTGTTGTCCTTGTTTGGCCCATAAAACCAGAGATAAAGCCTAGCAAACAGTCGATCCTGAGAGTACAAGATTAATTAATTTTCCCGCAAAAATGAATAAATTTCGAGCACGTGCAAAGAATTTTTACTAGGTGATTAATAAGACTAATAAGGAAACGTGTTGATGCGAACAAACTAACAAACTCACAGGCAGAATATAATGCGGTGCCCAAGTTTGGGCACCGCAATATCTTGAAGGACATACGGTTCAAACAGCCAATGAAAGTCATTGTTTTAACAAGTCCCTGCCGTTAACCAATTAACACTGTGATCCAGATTCTAGATCACTTCACACTATTAAGCATCGTGATTGGTGCGGTTCGATCTGAGAAACCATAGAACTGATAGAAGTGTTCCAAAGGTTCTTTCCGCTCGCCTCCCGCCCAGCTTGAATCCTTGTGTATCCCTCATTATCCCCCTACGAGCGTGGAAGAACCTCTGGCACCCAGGGTATTGTCTAGACTGTTATAGAAAAAATTAATGGTACTTGGAATTTAATAGAGAATTGACGTAGATTTGTTCTAGGAGTTACAATGTGAAATTCATTTGCTCTTCTAGTATTATAATTATGTATTTAGTTATTTAATAGGAAAATATTTTTTAAATGTTCTGGTACAAGATTTTTTTATACAAGAACATGAATTGACATGTCAGTGTAATTTACATATGTCATTAAATTTCAATAATCGAAAATTTTTAAAGATCATGCTTGTATGAGAATCAAATGTACTATATTCATAATTCTAACAATACGTTTCTAAAGAACTACCAAACGAAACAGGTTGGATGCATACGTAGATGCCCAAACAATATTGCATTGAGTAATATAAAGTACTGTAAACAATGATTGTTTAAAAAAACAACTAGATTTACGTATTATTCCTACTGATTTTGAAATCTTCATTGACACATGACTAATATGAGATTTCCAAGAAAGTTTGTCATCTAAAATAATTCCTAAGAAAACGATTTTTTTCACTTGATCAATTTCTCTATCATTCAATAGTAGTTTCCCATCTAATTCCAATAATTTTGGTTTAGGTTTAAAAATCATAAATTTTGTTTTATCCAAGTTTAAATGATGGTGTGTTGTTTCTTTTTCTCTGATAATATCTAGCTTATTTTGGCTCAATATATATTTTTTTTTTTGGGGGGGGGGTGTTAGATACGGTTTAAAATGTCTTTTGTTTACATTGCTATTTATAGTAGTTTGCGTAACATAAACATGTGCCATGGGTTAGGTTAAAGTGCGGAAGCGGAACGGATGCGGAACGGATGGGATTAAAATACGGAACGGATGGGGTTAAAATGTGGGACGGATATATGGTTAAAATGCAGAACGGAACGGATATTGGTTTTAAGTTTTAACCTCATATTCGTTCCGTTCCGCCTTTAACCCCTTTCGTTCCGCTTCCTCATTTTAACTGGCCTAACCCCATGTGCCATGTAATTTAAAAAGAAAAACGGGTGTAAATGTGGAGTAATAATTGCTGCACCTTGCAGCAAAAACTGATTTCTATGCATGTTAAGTATTTTCAATTAACATGCGTAGAAATCAGATTTTGTTGCAAGTTGCAGCAATTTTGTTGCTCGTATTACTCGAGCTTTAAAGCTTGTTTTTCACTAGGCGGAATTTTCCACGTGGAGCGGAATTTCTCTTTGTCCTTTCACAACTACATTGTTTTCAACTAAGCCACCTTAAATCACGCAGAACATTTTTAGCGAACGTTAATGGAAAACGGCCTTAAGAGTGCAGTTAGTTAGTTAAAAAAATTCAGATCAATCATAGGGTACCCCTGCAGAAATTTCAAACTCAAAGTCCTTTACCCCTGAAGAATTCCAAGCTCAAAACACCCTACCCCTGAAGAATTCCAAGCTCAAAACACCCTACCCCTGAAGAATTCCAAGCTCAAAACACTGTACCCCTGAAGAATTCCAAGCTCAAAACACTGTACCCCTGAAGAATTCCAAGCTCAAAGCACTGTACCCCTGAAGAATTCCAAACTCGAAACACTGTACCCCTGAAGAATTCCAAACTCAAAACACTGTACCCCTGAAGAATTCCAAGCTCAAAACACTGTACCCCTGAAGAATTCCAAGCTCAAAACACTGTACCCCTGAAGAATTCCAAGCTCGAAACACCCTACCCCTGAAGAATTCCAAACTCAAAATCATTTACCCCTTAAGAATTCCAAACTCAAAACACTGTACCCCTGAAGAATTCCAAGCTCAAAACACTGTACCCATGAAGAATTCCAAGCTCAAAACACTGTACCCCTGAAGAATTCCAAGCTCAAAACACTGTACCCCTGAAGAATTCCAAGCTCAAAACACTTTACCCCTGAAGAATTCCAAACTCTGAAAAATTTCGATCTCAAACCTCTTTACCCCTGAAGAATTCCAAGCTCAAAACACTCTACCCCTGAAGAATTCCAAACTCAAAACACCCTACCCCTGAAGAATTCCAAGCTCAAAACACTGTACCCCTGAAGAATTCCAAGCTCAAAACACTGTACCCCTGAAGAATTCCAAGCTCAAAGCACTGTACCCCTGAAGAATTCCAAACTCGAAACACTGTACCCCTGAAGAATTCCAAACTCAAAACACTGTACCCCTGAAGAATTCCAAGCTAAAAACACTGTACCCCTGAAGAATTCCAAACTCAAAATCCTTTACCCCTGAAGAATTCCAAGCTCAAAACAATCTACCCCTGAAGAATTCCAAGCTCAAAACACCCTACCCCTGAAGAATTCCAGGTATCCTCGACAGGGGGGGTACGGATATTAAATGGAATAGCCCATTGTTTATTTAGAGCACTGTCGTATATTTTAACCGGTAGACAAACATACCACATGATTTTAGGACAAAAAATAGTGGATCACATGAACAGTATAGAACATGTCCTTAGACCATATATGAATAGTTCAGTAGATCATTATTTAGCCACAAGCAACATGAGGAACAGTGGTGTGTGGGGGACTGATATTGAAATTTTTGCAGCCATTCCCTTTTCAATGTAGATATTTATGTTTATTCACAGTTTGGTAACAATTATAGATGGTCTAAAAAGAAAAAGAATATTGGACACTGAGGCAGCATTACCACCTGGATTTACTTAAACACTGTACTGCCATTGGACAGCTACCTGTACCGTTGTACCAATAAGGGTGCTGTTTTATAGTTGTTCTGTTTAAATTTTTCTGTTCAACACTGTACACTGTACATCATACAGCTACGGTCATTGATGCAGCATGTACTGTATTGGTTACAGCTTTATACTTATAGCTATCATGTTTAAATTGTCCTGTTCAACACTGTAGATCGGACAGCTATGGTCATATGATATATTACATTGGGGACAGCTTTATACTTATTATAGTTATCATGTTTAAATTGTCAGTCTGTTTAACACTGTACATATCGGAAAGCCACAGTCATTGGATGTACTGATACTGACTGTATTAGGTACAGCTTTATACTTATAATTATTCTGTTGAACACTATACACACCTGACAGCTACGGGTATTGTACTTTTATATAGATTTGCTTTGATGGTGTGTAGTTTTATAATAATCTATCAGATTGTTTTTTCAAGACTGTTGATATTGGTTAGGGACAGGTCATTATTTATGGAAGGGGGGGAGGGGAATTTTTTCTTTTCTAAATTTTTAAAATTGAAAGCCCCCCCCCTCCCCTAAATGGCAGAAATTTAATGATGGCCCCCCCTGCATATTAGAATATTTTTCTTTGACCCCCCCCCCATTTTCATTTTTACTCGTCAAATGGGGATACCCAGGCGTTATAGTATTAATTATTAAATAAGAATATGGAACTGGCAAGATATTAACGTCGACCAAAAATATATATTTATTAGCAGGAAATTATAATTAAAAGAGGAGTATTTTTATATATAACACTAAAATCAGGTTTCCATTTGGTCTGGGCGATTGTAACCATGTTTAAGGCTGCAACTAGACTTGATGGTACGAAGTATTGCCATAGCAGCTGCGCAGCAACAATGAGAGCAACAATCAGTAAAATTAGCAGCAAAAGGAGATAGCAATGACAATTCTGCAAAGGCATACCTGCGAAATACAATGTATAGTGGTCCATACATCCTATTTTATGTGAGATTTAAAATTATATAAAATAAAATGACATATACTAGCTACCAGATAAAATCTTTTAGAATGAA